AATTGGTTGCAAATCGTTATCTATGTAGGTCTTTACGTGAGATTTTGGGTCTTTTAGCCTTTTCTGATTTTTCTGATGAATAATAAACAAAATGAAAGTCCAACAGTGAAACATTTCAACAAGTCCCAGCTAAAGGTCCCTCTCTGGCTCCCAGGGCATTTTGGAGGGCTTATTAATTTAGCTTATTCTTCATGACATGTTTTAGCCTTATTCTTGGCATGAGTTGTGAACACTTCACCAAATTATCATTCTTTATAAGGAGCTTATCTTTAGTCATGTATTTCTTTTCCACTCCTGTTTTACTGTATTTTCAGTGTAAGTGTGTTTGCTTTAACTTACTTCAGGTTTGACATGGTTAGAAAATGCAACTACATTTAAAGACTAAAGGGGTTGGTAAAAATTGACTGAGAATAATCAATGATCAAGTAGAAAGGAGCAAGTCCTCACTACAACAGTATTAGTTAGTCATGGGTAAACTGTAGTCCAGAGTAGCTCAGCAGTTACAAGCCAAGTTTAACTGGTATGACATAAAGAGGGGAAGACAAAGTCTTCCAGGATAGCCAAGAAAAGACAGAGAGTGGCAAGACAGCAGAGCTCCTGGTAGCTGTATTCCAGTAGGCAGTATTAGAAAATTGAAGAGTTCAAAATTAAAAGACCAACAGGAACAAACACAGGAAACTCCTTTTGAGTCTGATTTGCACTCACATCCTTTTTCTGGTACAAATGGCTAGGGTAGTTTCTCCCATCTGCTTTTCATTACTGCTGATCACAACACTGAGACATCAAAAATTTTATAGGAAATTAGTAAAGCACGAATAAAAAAAATCCCAAGTCCCTAGCTATTCTATCAAAAACCAATGATCAGAGTCAATCACAGAATGTCCCACTGACATCCTAACCATTCTAGAAGTCTCTACATTGAGAGGCCTGGCTAAGGCAACTCTACATCAGCATTGTTCCTGAGCCCCGGGTATTGTTAATATTCTGTCTGTAAAGCAGGTTTCCATTGCTTCCAGTGAATCGGAATCCTCTGCAGCCTCAGAAAAGAGTGGTAAACTTGGCTTGTCATCTTCAAAGCTTTGCATGACGTTTAATTGCCTGACACTGTGGCTCAACTTCATCCATTGGTTTTAATAGCAAAATGACTGCTGTCATGAATAACCACGCTGTTTTTTGGGCAAGCCTTTTCTCAGTGAATGTAACACGCTGTCATCTAAAAAAACCAAAATAATATTAAACTTCTGCTAATGCCCAAGTGCTTTTCTTCCAAGGTTAACATGTTCAGACACACTAATGCATTCAGTTTCACAACTTGCTTCTCATAGTCGTATAGATTATCAAACTTTGGCATGACCTTCTCAAGTTCACACAGAAGAACTTGGAAGAACCAGGAATATCCAACTCCTCTGAGTTAGAATAGAATAGAATAGAACAGAATAGAATAATTTCAGTTGGTTCTCTGTTGAGTTCTGTAACTACAGGACACATTATTCCTTGTTTGTATGTATAAATACTGTAGATGTACAGAGAGAGAAAATACATACAGAGCATACATACAGACCCTGACAAAATAAAATATTATCATAGAATCATAGAATATCTCAAGTTGGAAGGGGCCCATAAGGATCACTGAGTCCAACTTCCTGCTCCTCACAGGACTACTTAAAACCAAACCACATGAGTAAGAGTCATTGTGCAGATGATCCCTGAACATCTGGACAATCTGGACAACATCTGGACATCTGGCTTGGTGCTTTGACCATTTCCCTGGGAAGCCTGTTCAGTGAGTGAGCACCCTCTCAGTGAAGAACCTTTTCCTAATGTCCAGTTTGAACTTTCCCTGACTCAGTTTCATACCATTTCCATGTGTCCTGTTGCTGGTCACCAGAGAGAGGAGATCAGCAGATCTCCCTCCGCTGCCCCCCTTGAGGAGGCTGCAGACTGCGATGAGGTCACTCCTCAGCCTTCTCTTCTCCAGCCCTCACAAACCAAGTGACCTCAGCAGCTCCTTGTAAGTCTTGCCCTCGTACCTTTCACCATCCTGGTTTCCCTCCTCCAGACCCATTTTAACAGTTTGATGTCCTTATACTGAGGTGCCCAAAACTGTGTACACAGTGCTTAAGGTGGGGCCCCACCAGTGCAGTGTAGAATGGGACTATTACCTCCTTTGACTGGATAGCTATTCTGTGCTCAGTGCACCCCAGGACACGGTTGGACTTTTTAGCTGCCAGAGCACACAGTTGACTCATATTCAACTTGGCATCAAGCCAGACCCACAGATCTCTTTCTGTGGGGCTGCTCTCCAGCCTCTCGTCCCCCAATTTTCACGTATAACCAGAATTACCCCATCCCAGGTGGAGAATCCAGCATTTGCTCTTGTTAAATTTCATATGGTTGGTGATTGCCCAGCTTTCTAGTCTATCCAGATCTCTCTGTAAGGCCTCTACCCCTGAGGGAGTCTACAGCTCTTCCTAGTTTAGTATCACTGGCAAACTTATTTAATGTACATTCAGCTACTGCATCCAGATCTTTACTCCAGGTAGCCCCTCAGATACCCTAACAGCTACGGAATACAGTGGTCACCCCTTGTTTTTGAGCATTCAGTATGTTAGGGTTTGCAGATAAGCTCATTCACTATTCTTTGGATTTCAGCTGGGAAATACCTCACGTAATACATATGTACATGGTACTACACAAAGGTGGTTTGGAAGGGTGTGTGTCCTGTCCTTGAGAAACAGTAGAGAATAGCAGAACTGCTCAAACTGGTGCATTCTAATGCTGAGTGAATCTGTAATTTGCTTGTTGCTCCTTTGGTCATATGCAAGGCTAATATAACTTGTTCATTGCATTCCCTTCTGGCTAGCAAAGACTGTACATTGGAAATAGAAAGTCTTCTTCAGTTGAAATCAATGGTAAAAAATCCATTGTCTCAAATAGGAGCAGAATTAGATCATTCTTGAAAAAAAATGGGTGGCCTATTATTTCAGCTTTGAACGTAAATTATCAAACCTACAGCTTTTCAAACGAGGTAACATACGCTTGTTACAAGTTGAAACTATCTTTGATGGTATCTTCCAGATCCTTTCTATAAGCTTTCCAGAACTCATAATTTTTTCTTTAGACAAAATTTTCCTTTTAATCCTATTCAATCACTACAGAGAGAAATTATATTATTAATCCACTTTATCAAGTCTGGCTGAATAGAACTTAATTACAGTGATGTCTTCAATAATTTTTTTTGAGATTTCTGCATTAATGTTGAGAAATACAAAACACTACATGTAAAAATTTGAAGCATGACTTCATTTGAAGGCAATCTGCAGTGACAGGATTGGGAGTGAAACTCCAAAGCTTCACAGAAAGCCTGAGCAAAAACTTGCAAGGCAGGTGTGATAGTTCTGAGCTGAAATCTCCTCTGATGACGGGAAAGGGGCAGAGGGAGCCTTATCCATTGGTTTTTTGATTGTTATTCCAGTGGGTGAGCTCTAGTAACGATTACCAGTTTTATGTCCTGGTATGTCCTGAGCCATTCAATGCCATGGTCTACATAACCCAGCCCTCTCCATAAGCAGATTGGTATGAAGCCCACATCCCATGCTTAGCATAGAGGTAAATAATATACAAAATTTAACCATATTCATTGTGGGGAACTGATTCAACAGGCCTAACTCAGAGTAAAAACACATCTCAAGGCTTACGCTTAGATATATGCATGAACTACTTTAGTTGGAGGGAGATAAACTGTATTAAAGAACCTCCTCAACTGAGATACTGAAGTTGCAATATTTTGAAGGGTAAATGAGCTATATATGCAACATGTTACATGGACTCTGAATGCTGCATAGAAACTGTTAATTTTTTTTCACTTCTTATGTAACAGCCAGGTCTGTTCTGTGACTTCATCCTAAATCAAGGTCAACCAGAGCCATTTGCTAGAAATACTATCTCAGTGCAAAAAGGATGTGGAAAAATCCAGTTTTAAAACTTCAAAATTACTTGCCAATAGGCGTGTAGAGTTAGCTTTACTGAAAATAAGTAGCACAGATTTCTTAATAAAGGAGTTTATGAGGAATCAAAGAAATCTTCTGACAGCATTACACACATCCAGAGAAGGCCTAATTGCTTTCATACAGGTCCTGTAGTTCCTACCATGACTGCTCCCTCAGGGACTACTTGCTGATTCTCTCACTAAACTTTTTTGTACGAGGAAAAAGAAACATCAGAGCAATGTCATCAGACTTTGATGCAGATCACTAAAAAGCATTAACATCTATTCATATCACCTGATAGGGGGTGTTTCTGTTTTTGTTAATTAGTTTTTGCCTAATGCTTGATGTGACAATTAGCAGATCAGTTTGTGAAAGGGAGCTACATGAAAAAAGTAGAGATACCTTCATGCTATCTCTTGTCTCTTGAGAGGTGGGCTATCTAGAATTGGAAACAGATTTTCCTGCACGCTCAGTGTAGCCACGCCAACAGATGTACTCGTATTTACACCTGCACCCACGGAGGTGACTGAATTGCATTCTTGTCCAGAGTTCCATTGTCTTGAGGACAATAATCCATGGATTCAGATGGTAGGATCAGGGCATTAAGTACCTCAGCTATGCTTGAAAGTAGGTGATTTGGATCACTGACTACTACCTTGCCAAAAATTTCTGAGGAAAAAAAAAAGTAAAAAGGCATCTTTTCTTTGCAGTACTGGGGGCTTTTTTCATGTTTTGTTTATCCAAACAGCTTAAAAGTAGGATTTTTTTTTTCATTTTTATGAATAATCATCCTCAGTCTGACTTCTCATTCCAGTTTCTCCTTCTCAGATAAGCATGTTTATGGATGAGTTATAACTTCCTGAAACACAAGGTCTGTGATAAAAATGATGACAACTGTAACCATTGCCTAATGTACTGCTGTGGTCACCACTACAGCAACACAGCAGGACTGAAGTTTGAGATCTTAAATGCTGAAATAATTGAGTTTTTTTTTTTTCTTTGCAGTTTCTGCTTTGTGGCATATGTGGAATACTGTGTGCCAAAAAAAAATCTGGACTTGTTGTAAGTTTTTCCACTGCATATATAACATAAGTATTTGGAAGGCATACTGATCTAGTTTGAACTCCTTACTGGAGACCTTCTGTGTCCAAGTGTTTTTGATAAAAAGTCAATAAAAATTGCAAGTCAGCAGTCCAAAAAAGCAATCAGCACTTTGAGTTAATCAAGCAAAACAAGGCAGTTTTGAAATGGCCTAGTCAGGTCATGCCTATTTAAGCCACGCATCCCTATTTATCCCTGTCTGGATAAACATGGATGGAAAACCTGTTGACACAAATTTATGCCATGTCAATAAAAAGTTCGCCAATAACATCATTGGTTTGTAACATCTCTTCTTCAAAAACCTGTTTCTGTGAAGTGTGGCACAACTGGGCTGCCACCTCAATGAGGCTGCTGACCAGGCTTGATTCTAGATATCATAGCTGTTCACCAGTGTAATAAGTTCTTTTCGCAACCAAAATTGAGAATAAGCCAGTTTTAAAGTGATGGTGGCTGTTTTCTGTCTCTTGTAAGAATCAGAAGTACAGTAATTTTTCTGACTACAGCAAATTGGTGTTATTACCAGACAAGTCACAGCAAAGGTTTATGTTAAAGACATGATCCTATTGTAAGTGATAACATCTGGCTTAATTTTCTGTCAGCTTGATTATTCTGTCATATATAGATGGAAGTCACGTAAAACCAGCATAAGCATAAAGTGAATCAAGATCTCTCTCAGATTATTTTTGAATATCAATGAGTTAAACCCTGTTACAATGACAGTCTCATTTCTTAAAGCTTGTGGACCATAAACAGTTTCTAAAAGCTGCTCTGGTGGTCTCATGGAATAGTCACTTCCCAGTAGACTGCAGCATACAGACACATTCATGATGAAATTCTCATCCCAGTTGTGTACAGAAGTGTTCTGTAAGGCTCCATAAATTGTTCCTACCACAGCAGATAAGGACATATACAAAGCCATACTGAGTAATATCAAAGGCCCATCTAGATCAACATCTTGACAGGCCAGCAGTATCAAAGGAAGTGAATAAGACAGTAATTTAGCAGTGTCTCCATAATAAGGTCTTTTGCCCTTGAGTCATTTGTGGCTCAAGGACATCTTGACACAGGGCAGTATATTTGCGATTAAAGTGATAGGAGGTCTTTAAACATGTCTCATTAATTGCAGTCTGTTTCACATCATTCTAAAGTTTCCAGAAACATTTTAACCAAGTTAACAAACAAATAAACAAACACATAGTCACCACACTGACCTTCTGTAGAGCCACGTCACAGATTTCTTTGTTGTTTCTCTTCCCTCTTTGTTCAGCACATTTGCCTTGAACACTTTTGAAGTCCCCACAAGAGCTGTACAAAGCCTCCAAACTGCTATCTGACTGAACAAATTAGAATTGAACAGGCGACAGAGTCAGATGGCACACAAAACAAGAGAGAGTCACTGTGAACACACGAGGTGTTCACTCCTGAGGAAGGGTGAGAAACTGCACAATAGAAAATTATGACACATTCTGTCATGTTACTGTTTTGAATGAAATGCTGGAAATCAGAAGATTTGTGTCCTAATAGTCCTTCCATTGACTAGCTTTTAACATGAGCAACTCATTCTACCTAACTCTGTCTTACATGCAACATCAGTCTTAACTCTTGTACACCAGAAGTTACTGTATTCCCTTGGAGCTCTGTGGGAGCTGAGGGAGTTAAAAATGAGCATACGTGAAGTGTTTTCCAATCCATCATGCTATCGAAGCACTGAGTTATGGTTAGTCTCATTTTTTATGTGAATGAATCTATCTCTGAAAAATATTACTGTGACACAATCTCTTTTGTCTTTCCCAACAGATGATACTTTTTTCTGCCTGTTGCATCTGTGGACTAATCGGAGGAATCTTGAATTTTCAATTTCTTCGTGCTCTGACAAAGAAGTCGTCTGCTCTCTATTCTTTGCATCTTGCCTCCATGTCTCTTGCATGCATCGGAATTGGTGGTTGCACCCTTTCTTCATGGCTCACTTGTCGGCTAGCCAGCTATGAACAAAGGCGAATGTTCTCAGAAAGAGAACATTCATTGCATCACTCCCATGAAATGGCAGAAAAAGTGAGTTGTGTGTCCTCCTTTATTTGTTCTGCTTCTCCTAAAATGCTACTTTATGTGTTAATGTGTACAATTGGCAAAAGATATATTCAGTTTTCAGATTTATATGAGAAAGATCTTTTGGGAAATGAAACACTGCCATTCTATGTAAGCTTTATTATGTTGCATTATATGGAGCTATTTTTAGGTACTGTGTATTTGCAGTACATCCATTTCAATGAAGTACATCCATTTTCAACATAATTCCATTGTATAGCTATTCAAGGGCTTAGCTGCTAAATATAGCACTCCATAAATAATCGGAAGTCTTATTAATATGGATTATCATGTATTGTACTGTGAAAAACCACAGAATGCTTTCTGTAACCACATCATTGCATGCTTCCAGGATTTAATCAATTTCTTCCTCTCCCAAGTACTCAGCTTATAAAGTAGGTTATTTAAATACAAAAGCCACAGCTCACCAGCCTAGATGACTAAACGTAAGCACCTAAGGGCATATTTAGACACCTAAATGAAACTGGTCGGATTTACAGCAACACTGAGCATAGATTGCCTTGCTTTGTTAAAAGAAAGTTTACCAAGGTGTCTAGGTCTATGTTTGGGTGCTGAAACTTAAGCCCATAGGGCCAAAGTTGAGTAGGTAGGGCCAAAAGAATTAATTGAGTAGAATTCTTGAAATCAGCTCCTTGGATTTAGAGATTTGATTAATATTTGATGTTGCAATTAATTGTTCATTAAGTAAAAATGACTTGTCACTATTCTTTGGTTTCTTAACTGAGATGAGACTCCAAGTAGAAATATAGACTGCATTCACCTCAGAAGATGTTTGAAACATGTTTTAAAAAGTTAAATAGTATAGGTTATAACAGTAACATAAAACAGGCTGATAAATTCAAGGGAAGATATACTTTTCTCCCTCTCATTTTAAAATGAAGCAGAATTCTGACAAGCTACGTAGGCAATTATGACCACGGGCTTACAAATGGTAGACTAGATCCTGCCTTTCAAAGACGCTTTTGGCTTAACAAGGACAAAGACGTAGCCCATTTGAGAGGAAAAGAGAGAATAAAAAAAAAAAAAAAAAAAGGTCTGTGAAGAAAAACTTTTCAAAATACAAACACCTGCCAATCCTATCAATTTGGGCTGAAGATGACCGTGTAAAGCAGTAGTCCACTGCCTTCGTTCCTGGCCTGTTGACCTATTGAGCTTTTAGACACCTAGCAGTGAGGACTGCCAGGTGCCCACTTATCTTGGGTGAAGAGCCATGATGCATGTGCAGAGCAACCCCATTGCACATGCTCAGTGAATGTGGGATGCGTCCCAATGATGGTGGACTCCCTGCATGTGTGTTGTAGAATCAAGTATGCATGCATAGATTGTCTGATCTGGGACTTCTTAGACCTACAGCCTGTGGACTGCCTGCTGCTGGCAGGTTTAAGTACATTAGTTCAAGGCATGTCCCTAAAAAATAATGAAGGCTACTTAAAAACTTACATTAAATAAGGCCCTGATATAGAAAATAGCTTTAAAGTGTTTTATATATAAGACTATTTTGTATATTTATACTGATATACAGTAATATAGACATGTACTGCATGTGCATTTGTTTGTACTATATTTATTGTATAATTGTTATATTTATATTAGAGATTGAGGGGTATTGAAATAACCGACCTGCCCAGCTGCCCGGTGGTCCCCCCGACACCAGAGTTACCTCCAAGGTACGCTGAACACTAGGGAGCTACCATGTTGTTATGTCACTTCAGGAAGGGCCATCTCTAAGAGGAAGTCATAGTTTCAGCTAATCAAAGTTGGCTGATGCTGTGATGTCACTCTGAGTCAAGAATGGTGCTTCCAGGTGGTGACATAATTCTACGTGGTGAACGCTGCAATCTGGAAGTAAGTTGAGTATTTAAAATATTCACCCTAGTTATAGACATCCAAATGCTCCTATTTGGATGTTGTCACCATTGACTCACTCTGCTTCTAATCTGTGTGCTCCTTCATTTCTTGAAATCAGCAACACTTTTTAATTTATTAATACTTTTGTCTTTGAAAATAGAAATATTGGGGAAAATAAATATTCAATATATATATATTCAATATTTTCTGAAATTATGAGGATGGTGAAACACTGGAACGGGTTGCCCAGAGATGTAGTGGAGGCCCCGTCCCTGGAAACATTCAAGACCAGGTTGGACAGGGCTCTGAGCAACCTGATCTAGTTAGCGGTGTCCCTGCTCGCTGCGGGGGGGTTGGACTAGATGACCTCTAGGGGTCCCTTCCGACCCAAAACTTTCTATGATTCTATGATAATAGCCGATGTCTGCAGAGGATTCAAGTGACAATAAAGCTGACAAAAGGAAACTTTCACTCTTGTAGCGTTCTGACAGTATCAACCTGTGGCTGACTGATAGTTAATATCAAATGGCTTTGGTATTCTTGGTCCTTTTCCCAGCTCAGTGATACCTTCATCATCCAACAAAGCGTTTAGGCACCTACAAACAAGAAAAACATAGTGCCCTGTTTCAGGGCAGACAGCCCCAAACTGGGATCCAGAGTCCAGTGTCAGGCATGCATGTTCCTCATCAGTATATGAAGAGAATAAGGCACCATACAAATACATGGACAATAAGGCACCATACAAATACATTCAACACTATCACCTGCCAAATGGAGAGCTGGCTGATAGAAAATGTTCAAAATTCAGTAAGTTTACACACCTTATTTTCTCCGAAGCTTAAACTTGATCCAGGAGTGTTAACTGGCAAGGCTACTTGGCTTGATGGCCCTAAGTTTACTTTGTAGAGAGGAATAGGACATTCTTTCAATACTGTGCAGGGAACAATCAGGCCTTGTGATGTACTTTAAAATGTCGCTACTAGCACCTGAGAAAGGAGGCACCAGTGTTTCCACTTTATATTAAACTCCAAGTTCTGGTCTCTGCCTCTCAAACTATTTATAATTCAAATATCGCGGATTAAAAGAAGAGAGAGAGAGATAAAGAGTCTGACTAGGAATTTTCTTCTCTTTACCAAAAATCTCAGCTACTATGCTACAGAGTCAGGCTTGCTCTTTCTGTCTTTCTCTCTCTCTGTTTAGCCCAATCAATCTTGCTTTACTTTCTTCATAGAAACTTCCACAAGAAGGGGGACAAACAAATCCTTTTTCTTCTACATTTTCTCTACCTGTACTTAGGAGGTAGAAGAGGTGAATCATTCCATGCAGAGAAGAGCTTCTGGTTCTCATGCAAATATCTCAGAACTCGCCCAACAGTGACACCTCCATCTAATCTACCTGAATTTTAAAAAGAATAGCCCAAACTACATTTTTATGTGTGCTCATTCCTCTTGGCAATGTCGTATGTTCTCTGGGATCTGACATTGGACATAAGCAGCAGATCATTTCCGCATCCAGATTCAATTTGCCACATAATAGGCCTAGGACTGCTCAGAATAAGACAGTTCTGATCGCAAACTCTGTATGGCTTTACAGCCTTAACGGTTAGAGAACTGCTTAATTAATGTAGCCATCTCCAGGCTTAGACAGCTGATAAATAGGTATTGTTTGGATTGCAATGTGAGAATTAGAAAATCTAACTCTGAACAAATCTTGATTTAGGTGCCTTAGGATTCTGACTCATGATCAGGTTAGCTTATTCCGGGATGACTCACCTGCCACTTGACTAGCCGTTGCTGAACTGCTAAAAATTGTAGTCAGGTATATTACAGGAAAATTAAAATCAGCCCCATCCCAAGGCAAGCAGTCAAAACCATTAGATCCTGTTTGGATCTAGACCTACTTCCCAAATGTCTATCCCAGATAGCATCGAATGGCATCTGTTTGCAGCATGTCAGCACAGAAAAAGGTCTGAATAGAAATGGAGACTGAATTACCACCATGTTCCTTTGTAGATTACCACCCAAGCTCGAGTTGATGCACTTTCAAAGGACAACACCACAAAACTTGCACAGATGCCATCAATGCTGTATATGTGGTCTGAGAGTAATGTCCAACTCAGTCAGTATCAAGGAGTCTATCAGTTTTCAAACGTACTTAAATTATGTAGGAAGAAATGTGATTTCCTTTTTTTTTTACAGTGAGATTTATCAAGCCAAATGAAAATGCAAAGTTTTTCTGAATGTTTGAAATCCAGAGTTTGTTGAATTTTTCTTACAACCTTAGCTAACTAAAATTCAGACACCATAAAATAATTGCAATTTTAAACAATGTTTTCTATTCTTGTTGCAGGAAATGACAGACAACCTAAGCAATGGTGGCCCACATCTGATTTATAATGGAAGTGTATATTAAGAGATTTTTAAAAGTTCCATGGAAAGAAGTGGTTTTAGAATTTTCTTCAAGAAAAAAATACACTCCAAGAAACTGAGAAAATGGAATTATCTTAACTTTTATGGCTATAATGTCACAACTGCTGAACAGCACAGTTGCATTTCCCTTTTAGAAACATGTTCAAAATGTGTCTCCTAAACATTTTGGGATATACAATATTTATTCACTTCCTGGCTACTCTCTTTTTTTTTCTTTTGTCTGAGTAACTTTTCAGAATGGTGATAGTATTTGAAATAGACTTCTCAAGACTCTTCTTCTCATGAAGACTCAAAAACCAGAAAAAATAATTAAACTGGACAACATTTAGCCCAGTCACCAGATTCCTATAGAGAAGAGAAGACAGCAGAGGAAGGATGGCTCAGGGGAATCTTCTTCTTCTCCCCACTTAGCAGCATCTGGTGTAACATGATGGCTTCAGACCATGTGGCATGGTACCAGCAATGCATCTCCACAATGCCCCTCCCCACACTGCAAATGCATCCTGCCTCAGTTTTCCCAGTAGATCATATCAAAAGAAAGTGCATATTACTCTTCCAAAAGGCTCTCATTTCATATTCAGAGTGTAAATGAGCAGTGTGCTGAAAACAACACCAATGTCTTTGTTTTGAAAGACAGAATGCTCTAAGAATGCCATAAAACAAAACCTCAACAATGCCTTGTTGTAAAGAAATTGTAAATATTTCCAATTTGTGAATGAAGTATATTTCGTAACTTGTTCATAAAAGATGACAAATAAAACGAAATCTAAACCAGAGATTTTAGAGAGATCTTTGGGGTTTTTTTTCTTGTTAGAAAGATCTTGCAAAGCTGAACCGTCATGCTTGCAGTTTTGCACAACACATTGAAAGGTTCCTAAACAGGTGAAGAGAAAGGAGTAAAAACAAGGCTAAACAGAGGCATGGTCAAGGTCAGAGCGCATTGGCAATTCTGCACACTCACAACAGAGTTTGGGGTCTGTTAAAGCAGTGTGTATGTTAAGGCAGCAGCTTTAATCGACCCCAAATTTTATTGCAGGACCTACAGGCTCATATAACCATGAAAAATGGAAGATGTAATCTGTAACAGAACATATACAGCATAGTACTAATATAAAATATTAACATAAAATCACTCATATGTTACATAGTGAGTCTATGACTGTGCTGTAAAGCCTAGCACTTCAACATGAGTCTGAGATCTGACCATTATTGATGACTGGAAACATTTGGTGATTTATACCCATTTTCCCAGACAAGTGTGAACAGAATCTTATTATTATTCAAGCCATGCCATAAAAACCTCTAGAAATTATATTGAATGTTTTTTTAAATCTGTATGGTATAAAATAATTTTTAATTCAATTACTTTCGGATTTTCTAAGCCTGTAAGGGAGTTTCCCATCTAATGACAGCATAGGAAACATCTTCACTGTGATTTAAGGCTCTCACTTAAACTTCATGAAAATTAGTTGGCTGGCTAAGCTTGCGAGTCAAAAACTGGTCCACCTTATAAGTCTTCTCTTCACTTATCTACATACTTTGGTAACTGCTTATGAGACTGTTAAAATTCATAAGGAATATAGATACTGTCATAGCAAAAGAATTAGACATTAAGGCATGTCTGCACAAGGAAAGTGCTTCACTTCCCAGGTCCTACCAGCTTTTAGAGCGTCTCCCGTACTACATTCCAGTTTGTCTGGGCTCTTTATAGGTGTTATTGCCTTTTCAGCTTGATGCTCCTCTTCTTCAGCAATGGGAAACATGGGATAAATCTGTCCTCCACACCTTCCCCTTCTAGAAGCACTGTTGCTGCAGCTCTGGACACAATCTGTCAATGGCAAGACTAGTGCCTGAATGGGCTGCAGAGTTTCATACAGGTTAAAAAAATCCATACTGGACACCAAACTAGAGGAGATGGTTCTGCAAGATTCCCTTCCTCATTGCATCAGTACATAGAGCATAAAAGGGCCTTATCAAACTAAAACAAGAGCAAAATAACAAATGACTCAAAAATCCACCTCAGAACCACTTGGCTGAGGTTCATCGTTAACTCTGCGCTACAACAGTAAAATCATGGTTTGTACAGAGGTATCTTGTGTCACTGCAGGACACTTCAGGACTAGGAATGGTAGCTTCAGATCCTAGAGAGTGGTTTGTAATCACATTTCAGAATCTGCTCAGGAATAACATGAGAAAACACAGCACAACACTCTCCATTTACTTATCACAAACTCTTCATTTCCCAGCATGGTAGTATGAGTATGGGATGGTGCAGGGGAACAGGTGATTCATGTATATCCGACATAGCAGTCCAGTGTAACAGCCACTTTCTCATGCTTTGGAAAGGAGAGGAGGATACATTCCCCAAGCTCACACTGTTTGAAACCTTACTGTAACTTACCAAATACAACCACACCATTTCTGCTTTTCAGGGGGTGCTGGAAGGAGAGAGGAGATCTGGGCCCCAGAGAACAAAAGATTCCATTGCCTGGTGGTTTTTTTATTCTTTCACTGCCAAGACTGTAGAATGCAAAAAAAACTGGCTGGTCTCTGGATTAATAAAAGCCTTGAAAATGCAAAGTTGGAATCCAAAAGACTTAGGAACAAATGTAACAAAGACAACTGCTCCTATCTGAGACATACAAAGAGGATAAAAATTCTTAAATTCAGAGTAAATTACCATAATATATGGATATGGTAGGTGAATTCTAGGAAATATTTCAGTTTGTTTAATGAAGTTGTGTTCCATAACTGCATATAGAAGTCAATTGTAATGGAAACATTTTCTGTATGTTTTCAGTACTGGTACAGTTGAAAGGAAACTCATTCCACTTATCCAACTGTGTGAAAACCAAAACTTTCAGTTTTCAGAATGTGAACAGCCAACATATCTACACCAATAGCTTGAAGGCTGGGCACCAAAATCCATTTTAATCCAAATAAGATGAAGCATGTGTTGTCTTTGACGTTATTTCTGATTCATGCTGCTGTAAAAGCAGATGCTGGCTCAGATTCTCTCAGAGATACTCAGCTGTTATTTACTAGGTCAAGCAACACATTTTCTGAAGGAGTTTACTTACTGAACCTTGTGCATGGGACTTAGTGTGTAAGTCCTTAATGCATGTTTTAATATTTTAGGCTATATTTTAGACTATGCTTCATAGAACCTCAGCCTATGAGAAATACAAACATATTTTGAATTTACAACAATCAACAGTTCTTACTGCAAACTGTGCAGAAATGTCCACATAATATGTTTTAAATCTTTGTCTTGCACAATCTTTTATATATATATATGAACATATATTTGTTGCATTAGGTCAGAAATTTCCCTTCATATGGTCTGGGGAGGTATGATGGACAGTGGAATGTGTCAGATTCAATAGCAAATTTATATGCAGTAAGCCATAATCACAAATAGTCACATATATACCAAAATTTTCCTTAAGAGTGTGATTTTGAAGACAGAGAGAAAGGAGAATATAATGGTTTACCATTAAATAAATGGCAAGCCATTTTTAATCCTTTCAGATCCCAGTCACAGGCAGGGTAAGGAGTTAAAAGGAGTCTGCTATAATTAAAAGCTTAGAAATATCTAAAAGCAGACTAGTATTAGACTACCATATCATTGTAGATATTACTGCACAATCTTTCTGTCTAAAATGATTCTAGCTAGCTTTCACTTCCTGTATCAAAGGGACATCTTTAGTTCCACTATAAACCTCCAACAAGTTCCACAAGGTCGTTGTACATGCATCTGGAGACAGATCTTGAAGAATATTTTTAGAACTTGTACAACGGCTAGGCAGACAGACTCACAATCTCTACAGGAAAAAAAAGACAAAAAAAGAAAAAAGAAGAAAGTTTTTGGAAAATAACACAATTTTCTTGGAGTGAAGATGCTAAACTCACCCTAGTTTAAAATCATCAGCGTGAGAAACTCCGAGTGAACTTGGGAAGCTTGTTCAGGGAGGCCTTTTGCCCCCTATATAAAGTTATGCAAATATGATTCAATGTTCTGAAGGAAAAGAGTGAACTGGGTGGGATGAATCTGTAGCCGGAATTTCAGCAGAAAGGTACGTGCCTGGAAAGATTTGTTTGGCTGTGGAAATGTTGTTCTGCTTCAGAAAGAAGTAGCTTTGATTTGGAGCAAAAAGTCCAGAGGGCTGCACCGAGGTCTCTCTTGTTGTCTCTCTTCAAAGAAACAGCAAAGACACAGGACAGACACATCTACTTCTGCCAGGGAACTAACAATAAGCTGTGCAGAGCAACCTCACAATTGCTCTGTGGTTCCCTCATATGAGCCCTGAGCATATACGGAGCAGGCAGTTTTTTTTTCCCCTTGCATTACATTTGATTTGCTGTAAGGTACCTTTTACGTCCTTTAACCACCAAGTCACAGCAGGTTGCTTTAATGATTTCCATATCTGTGTAATTTTGCTTTGTAGTAATAGAAAGGTTTCTTTCTCCCAGAGATCCTTTCTGCAATCTGGTTTAATCCTACCATAAACTGCAGAATGTGTCCTTCTAAAAAGATAGGAAGTTATGGCACGTTGAACAGGTTGACCATGTAAACTAATTAAAAAAACTCTGCATCCATGAAAATAGCTGTTTTGATGAAGTGGCACAAGGTGCAATGGGAACATGCTAGGAAGGCAGGCAGGAAGAGAGACCACAAGCACAACTGAAAAAGTCTTGAACTGCAAAGTGTCACGAGAGTGCTGCATATAATTCCATTGCTACAAACCAGGTATATGGGTCAACACAACTTCTCATTGTACCCTTAAGAAAGCAGACATAGATTTAAACGGACGTAAGAGCCATTAGGATTTCCTGCCCTCTTTCTCACATCCCATTACTAGTAGCTAGTGTGAGACAAAGCATATGGTGTAACTGGGACCACAAACCTGGGCAGCTCCTCTCCCACATCATGAGGTGAACCCTTTTTTCTCTCCCTCCCACTTCATACTGGTTCAAGCTGGGAGGTCATGTCTTATATCTTCCCTTATCTCTTCTGTTAAAATACAGTTGTATCTTTTAAAGTGTTTGGTATTGAATAAATTCTTAGCTTCCTGGCCCAGAGAAAGCAAACACAGATCACCGTCTTCACTTTACAGTGAGACTGCAAATGAAGCAAATCTAAATCTAAACCATGAAGTCCAAACACGCAGACTGACAGTATTAAATGCCTGTGGTTTACTACACTTACTGATATCACTGCTGTCTTCTCCCCTAAATCCAGGCATAAACTCCAGGAATGCTGCCAGCTAATATTTTTTGAGGACTATGTATTAACTGTGTAGCATCCTGGAGAAGTATGTGTGTCAGAGCTCCTTCGGTACCCATTACACATAAAGGACAGTAGGTTAATATCGATACCTACACTGTGGTGGCAACAGCGGAGATCTTGACATGGCCCAAGAGTTCTGGATCTAAAGACTGCGAAAGGCATGGGATTCTGTAGAATCGTATCTATGCAAGGGATTGTTTTGTTTCTATTTTATGCTTGATAAAAATACTGTATAAAACCATGAATAACACTGTAAAGTTTGTGAATTAAGACATTCAAACACGAAGAAACACTTGACTGGATTTTAAGACTAGAAAGCACCTTATGATCAAGTTTTTCCTTCTGTATAGCATAAGACATGATACTGCATCTGACAATTCCTGTACCAATCACATAACATCTGGGTAAGCAACATGTATTTTTAGAATTAAATCCGATCTTTATTTAAAGACTTCAAAAGATGTAATCTGTCACCTCCCTTATT